ACATCAGGGGATGACGCATCCATCCGCGGGGCCACGTAGGGCTTCAATCTAGACGTATGAACGTACCAGCGCCGCAATCCGAACCGAACCCATGCGGATTGTGGGTTAGGGACTTCAATAAGCTTAACCGGCCCTTGCCATGGTTTGTGAAGCTTAGGGGAGGTCCCCGGCCGCACCTGCGAGCAGTGCAGCCATGCCATGTCTCCCACTCGCCAGGGGCACGTACCGGTCGAGCGTCGGGCGCAACGCTCGTTTCGCGCCTGAGTCTTGGCAGTAGCCAACCGGGCCCCCTCCCGTGCCTCGGCGATGCGTCGAACCGTTTCCTGAATATATTCAGGGAGAGGTTTAACAGGACCCTTCGCCCCCGTACTCAGCTGTACTTCCACCGGCGGCACATTCTCGCGGCCGTACATGAGAAAAAATGGAGAATACCCAGTGGACGCATGAGGCGTCATCCGATACGCAGAGAGTACCCCAGGTATATGCAAGTTCCAATCAGCTTGTTTCTCATCAACCATGTGACATAGCATGGCCGACAGCATCAGATTAAGGCGTTCCACCATGCCATCCGTCTGCGGGTGGTAAGGAGACGTACGAACCTTCTTGGTTCCCAGAGCAGCGCACACTTCCGCCAACAATTTGGAAGAAAAATTTCGCCCCTGATCCGTGAGTAGCCTCTCCGGCGCCCCCTTGTCCATCACATATCCAAATAGGAAGGCGTCCGTGATAGACGCCGCCGACTGGTCGGGTAAGGGCCAAGCCATTGGCCAGCGGAAAAGATATTCCACCCCGACCAGCAAATATTTATTACCCCTAGCGGACGGCGGGAAAGGTCCCAAAATATCCAGCGCCACCAACTCGTTGATTCGAGACACTTGTATAGAGTGCACCGGCGGCACGTAAGGGTTTTTAGGCGGCTTCCGCCGGGCAGACTCGGGACACGCCCGAATGTGTCCGACGACATCCGTCGTCATGCCGTGCCAGAAGTAGTCATGCTGTAATGTTAACAAAGTCTTCTGCACCCCGAGATGTAATAAAGTGTCGCCGTGCAGAGTCCGAATCAATTCGTACCGTAGCGACGACGGTACCACCAGACGCCAGCGGTCATGCAATCCCTCTCTCCACATGAGCAACCCATCCTGGAGAGCGGCCCCCGGCGTCCCACCGGACAGCAATTTTCCCGCTCCCTTCGCAGCCCGACTCCGTAAAGCCCCCAATGAGTCGTCAAGCAATTGTTCGCGAATCCATACCGAGCGCGGAAGGTTCAGAACCCCATCGGCTGGTCCTGGGCACACCGGAGCCCCAGGCATCTCGACAGCTGACACGACAGGCCGAGGGGGTAGCTGAACCGGCGTACACCTATTCGTGCCCGACGCGCAAGCGCAAGGGGACCCCTGCGGTAATCTGGAGAGTGCATCCGCATTCGCGTGACGCGACCCCTTCCGATATTGTATGTCGAATGAAAATTCCTGCAGGGTTTCCAACCATCGTGCCAGTTGGCCAGATGGTTGGTCAACCCTCAGGGCATATTGCAGAGCCGCATGGTCCGTGCGCACAATAAATGACCGGCCGTAAAGATACGGCCGATATTGGCGGAGAAAATGGACAATAGCCAATAATTTGCGGCGAGTGACGCAGTAGCGGGTTTCTGCCGGGGACAGTACATGGCTACCATAGGCTACCACGCGCTCCACGCCGCCTTTGGACTGTGACAGAACGGCCCCAATCCCAGTGTCACTAGCGTCCGTATCCAGAATAAACGGTCTATCGAAATCCGGATAGTCCAATGTCGGCGCCGTCGCCAACCGATCGTGTAGGCCCTGAAACGCCGCTTCCTCCGGCGGACCCCAACGGAACCTCCGACCTTTACCCGTAAGGAGGTGCAAGGGCCTAGCGATCATAGCAAAGTTCGGGACGAACCTGCGATAGTATGAGGCGAACCCCAAGAAGCGACGCACGTCCCCAACCGAGGCCGGGGTTGGCCAGTTACGGACGCACGCCATCTTCTCCGGGCCCGTGGCCACCCCGTCCGCACTGACTATGTGTCCAAAATAACGCACGGATCGTTGCAGTAGGTGACACTTTTTCGGTTTGAATTTTAAATTTGCGGAGCGCATCCTAACAAAAACCATCTCCAATCTCTGCAAATGTTTGTCAAATGTGCGGCTAAAGACAATGACATCGTCTAAATAAATCAAACATGTCTCCCACTGCAGACCCGTTAACACCAGCTCCATCAACCGCTGAAAAGTGGCTGGAGCCGCATTCAAGCCCATCGGAAGGCAATTAAACTGAAACAGTCCCTGCGGCGTGCAAAAAGCCGTCTTTTCCCTCGAAGACTCGTCAAGGGGAAGCTGCCAGAATCCCGAAGAGAGATCCAATGTTGAAAAAAACTTCGTCCCAGACAAGGCATCGAGGGAATCATCCATACGCGGCAGGGGGTACGCGTCTGCGATGGACACCTTGTTCAATTTTCGAAAATCGACGCAAAATCGCAGTTTCCCATCCTTCTTCTTCACAAGGACTACCGGCGCGCCCCATGGACTGTTAGATGGGGATATTATGTCAGCGGCCAGCATGTCCTCCACTGCACTGCGGACCTGATCCCGCTCCGTCGGGCTCAACCGATGCGAGTTCAACTGAATCGGAGCGGCATCCCCCGTATCAATGTGGTGGGAAAGCAAGGAGGTGCGTCCCAAGTCAAAATCATCCGAGCTGAACACGTCGGAATAGCTTAGCAACAGCGCGCAAAGCGCGGACCGTTGCTCTCCGGTCAGGGATGAATTCTCCCCGCACAACTCGGCAACCCAACGATCATCCTGCCCCGTAGGCCCCGAAACCCCCCCCTACCATGTCCCGGCAGACCCGGTTGTCATGGGTCGTGAACGCGGTCGTGGCGTGAGCCACAACCGTTCCGGCCAGGACACTGACAATCTCTGCACTCCCATTTAGCACCTGTAAGAATGGGGGCTGGCCCGGCCGGACAATTGTTTGTGCCCCAACCAGCGCCGAGCCGCCCGTTATAGCCGTGGACGGCGATAACAGAACCCCTGCCGCTCCCTCTACGCCAGGTACTGGCTTCCGATATCTCAACGGGATAAGCATCTGCGAACCAGGTGGAATGTCAACAGATACCTCGGACAGCGCCTGCACCTGGCAAACAGGGGCAGACTGGCCCCATGGCGACGGTAGGAACGAAATTTTACGCCTCCCCGGTAATTCAATACAGTTTTGATCAATCCTTATTTGAATGGGCATTTTTGCCAGGAAATCAGTCCCCAACAAACAGGACACCGCGAGGGACCTAGAGATCAACACGGTCCCTGAAGCCGACACCCCCCCGATGGATATGTTGGCGTCCACCTGGCCCACAATGCTCATACTTCCCCCATTCGCCGCTATGCATGAATCATAAACCACTCGCACTTTCCCTGGCGGAATGCCCAAAAGATGGAAAATGACATCCGAAATAATGGTCGCGGACGCACCGGAGTCCACCAAAATACGCGCCCCGACCCCCTGAATGGAAACCGGTACCGTGGACGACCCCGTAGCAGCCGCAACTACCCTACGTGCCAATCGGCGCCATTGCGTCAGCAAGCGACCCGGGTCAACTGGAGGCACCTTGTTGTTAACGACACACGGACCGCGCGGCGATGGTGATGCATGAGGTGACAGGCCTTGCCGGGTGTCTGGTGCGCACCGACTTGCCTGTACTGGTGGGTCTTTTTCGTGCGGCGTCCGTGGTCGAGGCCTCCTGCTGGGGCGAGCCCAGCAGTCCCTTGCGAGTGGCCCTTACGGCCGCAGCGGAAGCACTCCACGTCGTTCCGACGCGCGGCACCCCCCCTGTCCCGACGCTCCCGCGCCGGCGGCGCGGACCTCGGCCCCGTCCCCCTCCGAGCAGGCCACTGGGCGGAGGCGGCCGTCAACTCCTGCGGACCCTTGTCGTCAGGAACGTAGATCGCCTTCGTAGGATCCCACCCCGTAGCACCGCCTTCAATGACGGGCCCCCCCGTCCAAGCCGACACCTGCTTCCAGCATCGGAGATTAAATTGAGCGTCCAAGCACTTAGCCACAGCACGGGACGTCAATTTATCATGGCTGCACACCGGCATGGGGATCCTCAGGTCTCTAGATAACTCGAGCATTTTGCCCAACACGAGGGGCTCCAACAAATCGGGCTCCGTCTCGGGGTATGCCGCCATCGCCAGTTCCAGAACTGTGCCTCTGTAGGCCACCGGCGATTCCTCAGGCGCCCGTTGGCGCTGAACAAATCTCTGATGGGCGTCGTCCGGAGGCTCATACACATCTGCCATCTCCTCGAAGACACCCTGCAGCGTCTTCTTCTTGTCGGCCTTGATGGAGCGGAAAAACCGGACGGACTCGTCGTCGAGAAGTGTTGGTAAGACTTCCAGGGCCTCCGCGTCCGTCCACATGGCGGAGCGTACGGCCGCTTGGAAACGGCAGGCGAATGCGCTCCATTCTAGATTTGAAGCTTTCGTGACTGAAAGGAATCATATTCTTAGGTTTTTTCGGTAAAGTCACGTAGGTAAAACATCAGAATTAATAAAAATAAAATAAAATAAAAATCACGACGTTTCGGAGGCAACACAAGTCTCCGTCATCAGGTGGGACCGTCACAGCCACTTGATGCAGCTAATCCAGCCGTGACGGTCCCACCTGATGACGGAGACTTGTGTTGCCTCCGAAACGTCGTGATTTTTATTTTATATTATTTTTATTAATTTTGATGTTTTACCTACGTGACTTTACCGAAAAAACCTAAGAATATGAATGCGCTCCAATCGCCGCCGATTGAGAATTCTTTGACCGTTGTTAAGTGACGGCTGCGGGTTCTTGCTCCTCCGTCTTCCTCCGATGGTGACACGCGCGGCAGCGACAAGATGGCGTTGCTCCGCAACGTGTGCAAGATGGCGGCTTCCCGCGGCGGAGGGCGCAAGATGGCGGCTTCCCGCCGTTCTTCTTCGGCCACGCCCAAGATGGTGTCTTCGTGCCGCGTGGTCGAGAGGGCTGACGGCGACGGCAAGGCCCCGGCCCGTTGTTCCCCGCCGGGCCTCCCCGAAGTCGTCGCCGGCGTGACGAGAACGCACAATTGCGCCAGTACCGTCTTCAGCGCCTCCAGTTGCGCCACCACCTGTCGCCATCCCTCGTCAGCGTCCAGTCGCGCGGGTGGGCGCACCGAGGCGGCCACGTCCTGCACGGCTGGAATCCCGCTCGTCCCCGCTCCGCTTTCCTCCTCCATCGTGGGTAGCGCCACCGCTGAGGGGGGGTCGTTGTCGGAAGATGTTGCCGAAGATGGTGCAGGGACGGTCTTCTTCCTGAGCTGTTTTGACATGCCGTTTCACTTCTGACACTAATGTAATAAAGGACTCTCTCTCAGATGTCGATCTCCGTTGTCCTTTATTGGGTTCTTAGAATCTCCGTACCACGGCGTCTAGCTCAGGCCCGCGTCCCGCTCGACGACCTCTTCACAGCTCTCGGCTGCTCCGTTGTGCAGTCTCCCTGCTGCTCCAATATGCAGTCTCCCTGCTGACCCATCAGGCAATCCTTGCAGCCACACCGCTGCCCCGCTATCTAGCGTCACTGCTGCCCCTTCCACAGCTAGCCTCTCACTGCCCCGTTAGCTCTCTTGGTCTGACACCGATGGCTGTCGGTGTCGACGTCTCCCACCGCGTGGCGACCGCGCCACACTCTCCCTCTTGCCCAGTGTGACCTCCTCCTATTTCACTCCGTCTCAACTCCCCCTTCCCCTTCCGGTTCTCTCCCCAAATCCTCTCCCCCACGTGACCCTAACTCCACCCACTCCCCACGTGACCCAGACTCCGCCCCCCCCTCAATCCTCGCTCACATTACACTATTACCACGACTGCTTTCGATAGACTTAGCTGCACATTAAAAAAACTTATGGTTTCAATATTAGTTTAGAAGCATAATTTTAAAAAGTTGCATTTGGCACTACGCACTGGTCGAGTGCAAGGGTTTATTAGAATCCTTTTATTGTAACCATTCCATATAAAGATATGTTTTATCTACCTTCTATCCTGCCTCTCTGGCCCTCATAAGTACGGCAATTTGTGGGCGATGCCAGGTTCGGTGATTTCCCTTTATTGTAAATCTTCGAATTGGTGCATGCATATCAAGACATTGCTTTCAAAAATACACCCAAGCAGTGTTGAGGAATGAAATTTTAGAAACCGTTTCCCAGTCTGCATTGTAAACTTTGGCTTGCTCATGTGGTTGGCCTCTAAATTTAAAATTTTTCTGATCTTAATAGATCTATTTGAACGATGTCTGTGTGCCGCAAGAGTAGGATCACGTCCTGTCTGGGTGTGATCCAGTACAGTTTTAGGAATTGTCACCTGTGTTCCGGTGGACGGAATTGATTTGTTCAAGATCTAGTACCCGGTATTGTGTTGAACTTCATTGGAGTAAACTGTACAGTTTTGATGGACCTAGGTTGACAAAAAATTCACCCGTAAAAACAAAGTTTTTCACTATAAATCCTTTATATGCGTGGCATCGGTTTTATTTTATTATTCATTTCTGTTTTTCTTGAGTAAGAGTTTCATTTTTATCACATTGGTATTTTAAATTAAATATGAAAAAATGTTTTCCTAAAAAGTGGAAAAATTTGGAGAAAAAAAATTTCACGAAAATAAATTGTCACGCACAACGAGTCTGTGTGCAAAATGTCAGCTCGATTGGATCACGGGAAGTGGGTTAAAAAACGACCGAAAGATTTGGACGGTCGTAAGCACGCAAGCAAGCAAGCAAGTGAACTTAATATAAAGGATTTTTAAAAAGTCCATGGCTGAAACCTCGAGGCCTATTCAGGGAGGCAACCACATTATACCAACTATTTAATGTTACGGCAAACACTCACGATTATAGCCAACTGGAAACAGCACGTCCCCCCCTCCCTGCCCCTTAATTGTGCACATTTAAGTGCACACATTTAAGGGGCAGGGAGGCATATCACCAAACTTGGAATCTATTTACGGCTCCTCCTCTAGTGGGCACCTCCACCCCTCCCCTTCACCCCTACCCTCCCTATTATTGTTCTTTTTTCCCGCCTCCCCCCCCCGTCATTTCCCCTCCAGGGTTATCCAAGTTAAGGAAGTAGTCACCAGGGATGTAGAGTTTATTAAAACACATGGCATAAGACGGGTTCAAAATGTAAACCGCTGGTAATAATAATTCTATTTCACATTGCGTCTATAACTGGTGTCAATTCCCATACATGCCCTTCTGTGTGGAACTGAATCGTTTGTTCAATAACATACTTTTGGAACAAAAATACATCTGTTTATTTGTGGTCTGTGAAAAAGATAGTAACTCTACATAAGAGGCGAATGGGTAAATTTTTTTAAAGCAGACCAGGATCGAAATAGTGACATAAAGAAGTGGACGGCAGCATGTTTCGACTCCTTTTGAGAAATGTTTATCTTAAGAATGAATAGCAACATACCAAATGAGCCCTAAAGAATAAAGTATTTAATAAGTGTACATTACCTGATGTTACTATACGGATCAGAAGCATGGCCAGATATAACTAAAGGAAATAAAACAAAAGGGTGCACAAAGAAGCATGGGCAGATCTATGCTCTTAATTACACAGAGAACATTTGCAAATTGGAGACATCGTATTTACCAGCAATGACCAGCATGGTGAAGTATCATATAATGGAAAGACATTCATTCAGCAGTGGAATGATAAAGGCTGCACATTCATAAATTCATATATTATTTTTACATTCAAGAAGGGATTAATGTATGTTTCTCCAAATGTTATTCCGATGGCATATGCTTACATCGCTTATTATAATGCATTTATTGATGTGTTTCAGATATATAAAGTAAACTACTTTACCATTAGTTATTCGTGCCTTCAAAGGAGACGTCTAGTAAAACTTTAAAGATGTGTTTATTGAGCAAAGCGTAAGCCACACATTGGTTGTTAACTATTGGAAACGAGGAATACAACTTGTACGCCATTTGAGTATTACTGCAATTCGTAAAATGGCAGTAATAGGCCGCTGTACGTGAGCTGTATCGTTCAGTTTCGTTCCGACAAACGGGGCACTTTTTTCTTTTGCTCAATATGTTCAACGTTAATAAAAGGTATCCAAGAAAAAAGTTCTCCACGCATTATCCTGCAGTTAATGAGAAAAGTGTAATTTATTGGCGCACTATATTGACTGAGTATTGAGACATATAAAACTGTTGAGCTAGATTTTCAACCAATCAGCATCGAAAATGTAAGTAGGTCTGAGCCAAAATCAAGCCAATATCACTACGCACATGTAAACATGGAGGACGTAAGCAGTGCAGCTTCATCTGATAGCGGCGATCAAGCTCGATTAAGGTGAGTTCCACACAGCCATGTCCTTTATGGCAGTGATAGGCAAACGTTTCAAAGAAGCAGGACTACAGGATATGCTGATTGAATCAAATGTGGTAGCTGTTGGTTCAATAAATGGAGTCATTAGTGGACATCACTACAACCGTAGCATTCGTGCACACAAACTCCTATTTGAGGCAATGCATATATTGCGGTTGAGGTCATTCTTCAGTCCCTTCCTGAGCAACAGCACACTCGTTACATATCAGCCATGGAAGATCTAGTACGAGAGTACAAGTCTGAGGCAGGATTTTCATCTAACTCAGTGTCTGACATATCAGATATGCTGTCCTGCTATGATAGATATGTACATGAGATGACCTCTGTTAATTCTACCTTTGGACTTTGGAGCTCATACATTGAAATGGTTCAACTGTTACTGAGTTTCATTAGAGCAACCAGAGACTCTGACTGGAGCCTTCACTTAGCAACAGTGAGACGTAGGCTGGCATGGTATTTTGCATATTATGCAAGGTACCTATCAGCATATTGGGTCGAGATGATCAATCTTCCAAAGACTCATTCACACTGCTATGAAGAAGTTACTGCAAAAGGAAACTGGACAGTACAGCGTAAGGATGCTAACAGGTTCTCATCCATAGCTTGTGACCAAGCAATAGAACAAACCTGCAACCGTGATTCAAAGACCAAAGGCGGCATAACTGGGATAACATTTGTAATGCGGTTGTAAATTGCCCTCCGGAGGTGCCGTCATGGGGGGAGGAGTTAGGTCACGTGGGGGGAGAGGGGTTGAGTATAGAAGGAGGGGAACCGGAAGAGGAAAGGGAGTGACGGGGAACCAGGAACAGAGGAAGGCCACGTAGGGCGAAGCGGGGTGTGGCGAGATCGCCACGAACACGGGGAGGAACGAGGATCGGCACCGTTGGCCAGCGGTGACCGACCCGAGGCAGCAAGGAGGGCTGCAGTCAGCAGCGGGGCTGCAGGGAGAGTGGGCAGCGGGTCTGCATACAGTGGCAGCCAGAGGGTCTGCACATAGGGGTAGCAGCGGGAGTCTGCATAGGGGTAGCAGCGAGTCTGCAGGGAGGAGGTTACAGTAGATGAAGCAGAGAGTCAGAGGGGAGAGGAAGCTATAATAGCAGTGAATAGCCGGGGGCTACAAATACAGAGTTATAACAGAGTGCCGTGTGGGTGAAGACGAGAACCCAATAAAAGACACGAAGACAGAAAGAAGTGTCCGAGTCCTTTTATTACACTGGAGTCAGAAGTGAAACGGCATGGCGAAACAACTGAGGAAGAAGAATATCCCATCTCCGGCGTCGGCTTCATCATCGGACGACGACGATCTTCCTCCTGAGGTCGGCTTCACTTCGGCGGAGGGAGAGATCCGTGAGGGCCCGGGTGTCGAGGAGGTTGCCGCTGCGTCCGACCCATCTGCGTTGAAGGACGAAGATTTAAGATGGACCCGGATGGCGGAGCAACTGGCAACCCTAAAAACCGTCATCACGGAGTTGTGTGACCTTGTCACGCCAAGGGCGGCGTTGGAAGGTGACGGTGGTGATCGGCAGGAGCCCGGGTCGTCTTCGATGGCGCCGCCATCGGCCACGCGGCGTGAAGACGCCATCTTGGGCGTGGCGCACCACGGAAGGCGGGAAGCCGCCATTTTGGGGCCGCCGCGAGGATCGTCCGCCATCTTGGCGACACAGCGTTGCGACGCCTTGCTGAACTTACCGCCGGAAGAGTCAGCGACGGACGGAAGCAAGCCAAGGAGTCGCAGTCGTCACCTTACAACCGTCAAAGAGTTCTCCATCGGGGGCGATTGGAGTGCGTTCGCCTGTAGATTTTTGGCGGCGGTACGTACGGCAAGGTGGACGGACGCTGAGGCACT